TACTTCTACACATCGCTGTTAGGTTGCTTTGCCGGGATAATTTGTTTTTTTTGGGGGGTTCCCCCTCTCCCCTGTCACGAACTTCAGATACGGAGGCTGCTTGTCTAGAGCTGTCCGCCGGTTTGCAGGCGCGCTGGCTGCGTCGTCCGCCTCCCCCAGGGGGCCCCCGGGGGCAGTTCAACGCCCGCCCGGGCCCGGGCCCGCCCTGTAGACCAGGCGCAGGGCGGCGGCCAGGCTCAGCGCGGCGCCCGGGTCTGGGGCAGCAGCCCCGTCCGGGCCCAGGGCGGCAGCCCCGCCCGGGGCAGGGGCCGGGGCAGCAGCGGCGCCCAGGGCCTGCACAGCGCCCCCAGCTTCTCCAGCCCCCGTGGTCCTCGGCGGCCCCGGCTCGTAGACGGCCCGCAGGGCCGCGAACCACGCGGGGCCCCTTGCCCGCGCCAGCCCACCCGCGCGGGCCCCGCCGGCCGGCCCAGCAGCAGCAGCCGCCCCCCCGGCAGCCGCCCCCGCCGCCGCCGCTGCCGCCGCCTGCCCGCCGTCAGCCGTGCGCGCCTCCGCCGCGCCCGCCGCCAGTGGCCCCGCGTCCGGCGCGCGCGCGCCCCCGGGGCCCGCCGCCGCCAGCTCCGCGTCCGGCCCGCGCTCGCCCTCGTCCGCGTCCTCCTCGGCGCCCGCCGCGCTGGCCAGCCCCAGCTCGCGCCCAGGCGGCGCTCGCGCGCTGCCGGGATCAGCTCCACTGCGCCAGAGCTGGATGCCCACCAACGTCTTGGCCCGGCGCGCGAGCACTTCTGGGGCCGCCACCTCCCGGCGGCGCGACGCGGCTGTCGCCATGGACTGGATGTCGGCGCTCGCATCGCCATGGGGGCGGCCCCAGCAGCTCCAGATCAGGGGCCGGTACTCGACCCCCTCGTCCGCGAGCTCATGGAGCACCGCCGCGTACCGCAGCAGCTTCGTCGCGTGCATGGCCGCGCACGCGTCCGAGCCACTGCCTGCCGAGTCGGGGCGGGCAACGCCAGCATCCAAGGCCGCCAGGCAGGCGAAAACCGCCGAAGTACGAATATCTGCAGGGTGGAGAGTTGGATGTGACGGGACCAGGCCCTGGGGCTCGACGGCCGCCGCGTCATGGGACAAGCTGGCGAGTCCGAGCAGGGTGTCGCGAACCCTGTTGTGCCCGCGGGTGCTGGCCCCCCCGGCGCACCGCTGTGCATGCCGGCAGGCCCAGTCCAGCTCGCCCCCGCAGCATGCGCACTCCATCGGGGCGTCGGGGATGGGCTCCCCAAGCTTGTTTGGACGCCCGAAATGGGTACGGAAAAAATGGGTACAATGCCCAACAATACATGTTGTCCCAACCAACAGCGGCCGCTGTTGGGCAAGCGGCCTTCTGTCTCAAATGGACACAGGCCGCGGCGGCGCGGACAGCGAGTCCTGTTCAAAATGAACAAGAACTGCTGTTGGGCATTGTGCCCATTCTTTCCGTACCCATTTCGTTCGTGCCGAGCCTGACGCGGACGGCTGTGACGAACCCGCCTGCCCGGACGACGTCCCCCGTGGCCGAGCTGAGCATCCACAGCCAAGAGTGGTCAGTGTCTGGGTCCCGGAGGTCACCCAGGAGGCGCACGCCGGACCAGTCCCCCTGCCGCCTGGGTTCCCCACAGCTGCCTTCCAGGCGGGCGCCGGCGGCCAGATCGCAGAGACGGGTTTGCAGGCCTCCGCGAAGGATCGAAGGATCGCGCCCCGCGAATGCATCGCCGTTGTATCGGCGATGCATCGGCGATGCACTGGCGACGTCGGCGATGTATTGGCGACGTGGACGTGGAGAGAATCGGACTCCGCAACGAGCCGCATTGCCGATGCATCGGCGATGCTGTGGAACCTCCATGCCCATCTGCTCGGACACCATCTGGGAAGCCTGGAATCTCGGGCCAGCAGATGCAGATCTGCCAGCAGGCTCTTGACATCATGTCGAAGCTCGGAGAGAATGGGGAGCCCGCCAAGCAGGCCCTCGAGCCCTCGTTGCAGCCTCTCCGCTCCGGCCGCAACCGCACGGCGGCCAAATCGACCAGTGCCCAGATGCAGGCAGCAGCAGATCGTCGCATCACGTATCATAAGTAGCTCCAGCGCCATCAGGGGCAGCTCAAGCTTTACCAACTCAAGATGGTGCGCACCCACCTGGAGCAGCACGAAGCCCTCGCCCGCCAGGAGCATGAGGCCATCCAGGAGACGAAGGTCAAGATCGAGGCTGACAAGCGAGCCGAAATAAGCCAGCCCACTGGCGAGGTTCCCGCGCAGGCGGCTGCAGCTCAACTTGATGCTGGTGAGGTTCTTGCTGACAGCTTGATGGCAGCCGCGGCCAGGATGGCCAGCGACATGGCCCCATCCAGGCAGAACGAGATCACTGCGCTATCCGCCCAGCTCACCCCCATCCTCGCCACCGAAGTGCGGGTGCCCATGGACGAAGACGGCACCAGCGAGCAGCGACGCTTGTGCCGCGCCCGCCAGCTGGCGGAGAGGGGGGGGCCAAGGAGGATGCGCCTCGGGCCAGGTCGCGGTCTCCGACCGACGGCCAGACCAGGAACTGAGGCGGCAGGGGCACCTGCAGCCAAGGCAGCGCCAGGCAAGGCGGCGCCGCCGACACGACCGACTGGAGGGTCGCAATTTCAACCTTGTAGCGGTCAAGACGTCCGGGGGCACAGCTAAAATGTTTGTTGAGGGAGTGCCCCGAAACTTACACTTCGCTGTCATTCAGGAGCATGGGCTCCGAACTCAGCAAATTCTAGATATCCAGCACACGCTGATTCTCCAAGGGTGCGATAGCTATTGGAATCCATGTTTAACCATCTCGCGCGGTCGTAATTCGGGGGGAGGCCATATTAGTGCGCCGTCAGTTCGAATACCGGCAGTCTTCTGTGTCTACGAATGTCGTAGCTCCTGGGAGGATTGTGCAAACTTATCTGAGGACACGGAATCTTGGGATTGTCAGTCTATTTAGCAACTACCGGGTGGATCGTATCGGCGCTGGCTGTGCCAACATGGTGCTATCCAGGGCCGTTGGGGTCCACGTCTTGAACTCGGGAGTTCCCTTCGTCGTGGGTGGTGACTTCAACGTAAACCCTGAGACCCAAAACGAGCTCTTGAGGCACGACAAATACAGAGGTGAGATCTTCGCGCCAGACGCCCCCACTTGCATCATCGGGGACGCGCGCGCACTGCGATCGACTATTTCCTAATAGACTCGGTGCGCGCCTTCAATTTCGAGAGCCTCTCGGTTGACGAAGAAGCGAGCGTGCCGCGCATACGCCGGTGCAGATGTCCCTGAACAGCGCCACTGAGGACGTCTGGGTTCAAAGACTACAACAATACCAGAAGACTCCAGGAGAGGTCCCAGTGGGACCGCAACCCGAAACCCCAAACTACGATGACCTGGTCCAGGAAGTAACAAACTTGCTCTAGGACTTCCGACATCTGTCGAGAGAAGGTTTCAGGACTCCCAATGGTGAAGGCGAGAAGGCTGTCCTTCAGGCCTCTCTCGATCGCCTCTACCCAGCTTGGACGTCCAGGGCTTGGGGAGAGCTCAAAGCTACCAAATTTCAAGTCTCAGACGCTGCCGGCCTTGAAGGAAGTCAGATATTTCACCTCAAGCAAATTCGATTGTCCGACCTTCTGGTCACCTCGCGAAGCCCGCTGCCCAGTGAGAGTAGGTGTCTGGCGTGGATGATCAGCAGGCTGAAAGAGTTGAGGAGCCTGGTTGCCCAAGGGAACTCACATCAAGTTCGGGATGTTGCCCAACATGCGTTTAACTATGTTTACTACGAAGTCGAGGAGGCCCGTTCAGGACCCAGCGGAGGACTCACAACGAGTTCTGGCATTCGATTGCCCGCGAGATGGACGCCTTGTCGCTCTGTAATGAGAGCCAGCCGCGTTTCCTCATCGGTGTGGATGCGTGGTTACCTGTCTTGGATGATTTGCATAATACTTACATCATGCAGGAGGGGAAAGAGGTCCGCAGACGGTGGGAGGAGTGGTTGAGGAGGCCTTAGCTGGAGGAGCTAGACGTGCATATAGCGCCACCAAGGTCACCAACGGGTTTGTCGAGGACACCCTGGAACACCCAGGTGAAGCCCACACGTTCTCCTTCGGAGCCCGGATTTAATAACAACATGAAATCTGGTCTGAACCAAGAGGGGCCCACCATAAACCCGACGTGCTCACCAACTTGCCTGAAGATCATAAGGTTCTGGGGGGGCCAACTCCATAACAACTTCGGAAGATATCTGCGGGGGGTGAAGACAAATTCCACGGCCATTGACGGGTACCATGCAATCCACTTCTCACAGCTCTCCGATGGTGCCCTAGAGGTCATGGAAGGGTTCCTTAACATCATGAGCATATTGGGTACGAGTCCGACTGTTTTGAAAGACTTGGTTGCTGCCTTGTTTCGTAAGCTGGCGGGCGGCAGGCGACCCATCTGCTTCTTCAAAAGTCTCCATCCACTATAATACAAAAGCGTAGCGCACCGTTGCCGCCAATAGAAGAGAGTCACTGCAACATCTAATCATGTCAACATGGCACCGCATCGACGCACGACATAGTCGGTCTGGCAAGCAATTGTGCGTACAGACATTGCTGATCATGAAAGTAAGTGTGTCTCGACTCTTTTAGCAAACTTGAAGCAGTGATACAACACACACCAGAAACGAGATGACGCTGGTGGAAGGGCAGCGCTGCCACTTCTCGCTTTTTGCCTTGCGAGCTTCTCTAGGCTCGTATCGTTGGCCGAGACGCCTGCTGAAGGGTGAAGTCGTTGGAGGAGACATCTGCTCGCGGCGAGGGACAGTAGTTGGCTCTTCGACGGCGACCTTCGAACTGCAAGCTTACATGCTACCCACTGTTCGAGGCACATCTGTTTTTGGGGAGAGTAGGGGCTATCGATCTATATCGTGCGGAGGGCAGAGGCAGGCATGGGAGGAGGGGGAGGATCGGGAGGAGGAGAGGAGGACGCACGGCACTGTTTCTCCAACGCGAGGCCTCAGCACCACAGGATCGTCGAGAACAAATGCACTTGGGCATCTGGGGAGGATCGACAGGCGGATCGAGGAGGAAACAGCTGGAAGAGGATGACGACACCGCTACAAGTTACATGGGGCGCTGCGCAAGCGGGGGGGGGAACCCGCTCAGTCATGCCACGCCGCACCGCCTCACAGGAAGAAGGACGACGGCCCGGGCCTCCTGAAGAGGAGCGGCAAACCAATACACATATATATATATATATATATATATATATATATTTATATATGTATATATGCATGTATGTATGTATGTATGAATGTATGTATGTATGTATGTATGTATGTATGTATGTATGTATGTATATATATATATATGTATGTATGTATATACAAATATTATAAAAGCCACGCGCGCTTCGTGCACGCTTAGGTTCTACCTAGGAACACACTCATCGTCATCATCATCATCACCACCCTCCTCCTCCTCCTCCTCATCCTACTCATCCTCATCCTCCTCCTCATCATCATCGTCACTACCACCAGCACAATAGTCATCTTCATCACCGTCATCATCATTAGCACTATCAACATCATCATCACCATCGTCATCATGCTCACCAACATTACCATCATCATCATCATCATCATCATCATCATCATCATCATCATCATCATCATCATCATCATCATCATCATCATCGTCATCATCACCGTCATGACCAGCATCATAATCGCCGTCATCAACATCATCATCGCCACCACTACCATCATTACCGTCATCATCATCATCGTCATCATCATCAACAACATCATCATCCGTCTACTCCAATCCCCTTCTCGTCCTCCTGCTCTTCCTCCTCATCCTCTCCTTCCCCGTTCGATCTCCACTGTCTACCTCGCCTCCTCCACCTCCTCATCTTCCTCTTCGACGCCGTCTCTTCTAAGATCCTTGTTCGTCATCCTCGTCCTCCTTCCCCCGCTCCTCACGCCTGTTTGCCCCGCTCTCCTTAATATCACCCTCTTTCTCTTCCTTCACCATCTTCTCTTTCTTCCCCCTCTAGTACTCCTCATCCTGCGCTCTCCTTCCCTCCTCGTCCTCAGAAGCCCTCCCCGGGCCCAAGACTCCAGAAGCCAACGCATCTCGCATAATCAAGTGGGAAGCCTGTTGTGCTCTGCCTCTGGAAACTCTATTGGTCGCTTGCGCCGTCCAAAAATCTCTGGGGCCATCTGGAGCTTAGCTGATGCCGCTTTGGAGCTTGCTTGAGCTGCTCGAAATCCAAGGTTAGCGTGGGCACTACGTTGGACAGTCTTGGAATGACACGAAACTTTCCCAAGAACTCGGTTTCGTCGCCGCCGTCATCATCATCATCGGCGTCGTCGTCGTCGTCGCCGTCATCGTCATCATCATCGTCATCATCGCTGTCACTGACATTGTTATCATAATAATAATCATCATGCCCACCATCGTCATAATCATCGACATCGTCGTCGTCGTCATCGTCGTCGTCATCGTCGCCAACGAAATTCTCCAGACAACCATCAGGTCGATTACCGTCACCATTGTTGTCGTCATCGTCACCAGCCTCATCCTCATCGTTCGTCATCATCATAATCGTTGCCATCGACGCCGTCATCTTTTGCACTATCAACATCGGCATCGACAACGAAATCGTCGCCCTCATGGTCAACATCACCATCACCATCCGTATGTTCCCAAGAACCGTCACCATCGTTGCCATACTCGTTATCACCATCATCAACAATATGGTCATCACCGTCCCCATCATCACCGTCCTCGTCCCCATCATTTTCATCATCAGCAACAGCAGTAGCAACATAGCCTTCCTTATATATTGACCCTCCTCCTCATCATCACCATTGTCGTTATCACTACCATCAACGACAACATGGTCGTCGTCATCGTCAACATGATCATGATCATGACAATCATCATCACGTGTGCCAAGTCATGCGCGGAGGTTGCGTGGGACCACATTCCGTTCGTCGATAAGCCCCTTCTTGACAACGCGTGGCGGGTTGCATTTCCGTCGCTCGTAGGCGAGGTATCCGTTCACATTGATTTCAGTGCTGTCGCGCCATTGCTGTGGAAAGTGCTTGGTGCATGTGGCGTTCTCCATGCGCAAGCATTGTAGATTGAATGCGCCACGGGGTCCGTGGACCATGTGTGTGTATCTACGCGTTCGTAGAGCTTCGTCTAGGTTGTGGGGCACAGCATTTCAGCGCTTACAACTCTGTCAACTTGTCCGGGCGTCGTGGGTTTATCTTCAGGGCGCCCTATGCGTAGGATGTGACGCTGTGGCAATTCGTGCTTCTGGAATTCGATCACGTATGTGTGCGAAAACGTCGTTCCGATAAGGTGATTGACAATCAACTCGTGGAGTAATGTTGGATTTCGCATGAAACACCCTGGGGGCTTGATCGGGCCAGTTGTTCGTTGCTTCGCCACGTCGCAGGTTGTTTCTGATCTCGCGCAAATTGGGATTGGCCGTCAGGGTACTAAAATCCGCGCCCCGAGTATCGCCCAAGGATATGGCGCCTCTGCGTAGACTCCCTTCCCCTCACCTCCTGCCGCTCCATCGCCACTATGCTTCCGTCAGCTCTGTACTACTTGATAACGGTCTGAAGAACAGGAAAAACTGCTTCCACAACATTTCCGTTGCTTTGGGCAGTACTTAAGCATAAGTGCGAAAACAATGCATCCACTATGTTTCTGGTGGCTTTCACGGATTGCAGCGGTTGTTGGACATTTCATAGGCCTTGTATCTCCACGCAAATGTTTGCGCTATCTGGGATGCGCGCGCAAAACCTTGCGACGGCGCTGCGTTCGCCATCTCCCCGCGGATGTCCGCGCGCTTTACACGTGGCGCGGAGACGACGCATCCGCCATGTGCCCGTCGGTATTTGCACTACTGTGGAAATGGCGCAAGAACATTGCATCCACAATCAACCCGGCAATCTTTAGCAATTCAATGCGCGATCGCCCCGCCGCTCCGGGCTGTCGCCCGTCGCGGGGGGCGGCGGCAGAGCGAGGGGGCCCGGCGGACCTGCGCCGGCGCGGCGCGCTGGCTGCGTGCTGTCGGCGGGCATGCTCGGACAGCGCCATGGCCGGTCCTGCCCAAACCGGGCCGCCAAGGACATCGCGTCGAGATGGAGCTGTTGCATGGCTCGCGGGTTCCTTCCACAGGTGGCCGGTAGAAGTACGGGTCGTCCTATGCGTGGAGCGTTCGCTGGCTGGTCCTGCGTGTCATCGGGTGCCTCTGTGCATTCAATCTAACCAATGAATCCACGCGAGCATTCTGAACGGAGATTGTCTTGGTTGTTCGCTGCCCAGCCTACTCTCTCGGACTCTATCTTCGCGTGCGCTTCTACCGCGCATCGTTGAAAGAGTCTGCCCCCGCCTTGAGGGGGCTCGACCGCGGCGGTGGTGCTGTCGCCCCGTTGCAGGAGGCGATGTGGAAAAACTCTGCAATGGAGATCCGACGGCTCGTGGGCTCGTTTCATCGTAGTGGCGCTTCGCGCAATGCCGCGGCATATCCTGCAGTTCTGTGTGGGCGCGGTGCAGGGTGGGCCAGCGGGCCGACGAATTCCAATGCATATCAACTCGTTGTTTCTCGCTCCTCCCGCGGAATCGGCTCTTGCGCAGATGGTGGTGGGGCGGGGCGGCGGCGGCCCATCTCCAACCGCTGCGCGAGACACCTCTGAGTATGACAGCTCGTCGCATGCGCGGGGGCCCCGATCTGCGCCGCTTGCGAAACGCAAGGCGCGCAGGGGCTCGGTTGCACATGGCGTTTCGGTCGGTTCCCTTCGCGCCCAATCGTGCGCGCTTGTCAGAAGCGTAGGCAATTTTCGCAGTGGAGTCTGGGAAGCCGCCCGATCTGGCGCGCCCGTCCACGCGTCGCGCTGGGCGCGGAGTTGCGCGAGCATGCCGCGCAGGTCCCGGAGAACGTTCCAGCTGGAGCTTGAACAAAACCCACGTCCACGTCTCGTTGACGCGGCTTCCTCGGGGCCCTAGATGCACAGCTGAGCGTGCGCGGGCTTGCCAGATTCAGCGGGGTAGAGCGGGCCAGCTACGTGGCGCGCTCGGCCATGCGTGATGCGCGCGCACGGGGCGCGCGCGCCAAGTGCTAGCGAAGTGGCAGGCGAGCGGGCGCGGCTGCCGCCGGCGACGAAAGACGCGAAGCCTAGTGCACAACTAGGCAACTAGATGTTTGGAACGACATCCTGACATCCGAACTTGCAGTGGCGGTGGGTGCCCTCGTCCACAGTGGCAACTCCAGCCTCTGTGAACGGGTAGTGAGTCAACGTGAGAGTCACTGCGGGCGCGCCTGTGATCAGCGGAGCGAGCGTCGTCGGCGCCGGCGGCAATGCAGGTGCGAAGCGGGGCCCTCCGTTATTGCGGCGCTGGACGAAAGCACGTCGCGCCACCTTTCGAACGTCTTCTTTCTCGAAAAAGAACGCGTGACATTGTGTGCAGCGGTGGCTCGTCTGACCAGACTTGGATTGGGCTGCCTTCGCGACGTCGCCGGGGTCGCAGACGTCCATCGACGGAGATGCCGCTGCTAAGTGCCCCATTCGTCGGGGGGCAAGCCGCCCCGGATTCGTCGCCTGGAAGCCGGGGCGCGCGACGTGTGCGAAACCTGCGAGGCGCGCCTCGGCACGGCGCATTGTGGTGTGGGCCGCTCGAGCGGGAGCAGTGCCTGCGTGCGAGCTGCGAGTCGCGCTAGTATCGGTGATTCCTTACGTTGCGAACTGAGTTTGCCCGTGGGGCGGGGGGTGGGGGCTTCTCGCACCGCGTGAGCAGTGCAGCGCGGCGCGTTGCCGTCGACCCGCTTTTTGCAACCCCTGGTTATGCATCGGTGCCGTTCGCAATGTTTGCACTTTCCATTGGCCCCCATGGCGCGCCCGGTGCATCGCGGAGTTTTACGAGGGCGCACGCGCGTGCGACGCGGGTGGCAGTTGTCGGGCGCTGGCTCTTTGCCATCTCTGTGAATGTAACCGAGGACTGCAGCGCGGCAGCGAGGGCCACGTGTAATGCAAAATTGACATCCGCATTCTATTATGACTGGGGCCAGGCTGATTACCTGTGCAGTGTTAGAGCACCCCCTGACGTGGAAATGGCACGGGTGTGTTTGGACTCGTTTTGCTGGCGCCTTCTGACAGCGGGGGCGCATCACTTCTCCAGGAGACACCCTGTTCTGT